TCCATACTGAAGGCTGCATTTCTTGATCTTCTGCAACAAGTGCTTCAAATACTCCTCATTTTCAGTAAGCAAGGTTGTGTCATCTGCATAACGAAGGTTATTGATGAGTCCCCCTCCAATCCTGATGCCACACTCCTCTTCACAGAGTCCAGCATCTCAGATAATGTGCTCAGCATATATATTGAACAGGTATGGAGGCAGAATACATCCATGACACACTCCCTTTCCAATTCTAAACTCTGCAGTGATCCCCTGCTTCACTTGCACAACAGTCTCCTGGTCCAGATATAGGTTCCTCATGAGCACAATCAAGTGCTCTGGGATTCCTATTCTTCTCGATGTCAACCACAACTTGTTATGACCCACAAATGCCTTTGCATAGTCAATAAAGCACAAATAGACATTCTTCTGGTATTCCTTACTTTCAGCCAGGATCAATCTGACATCAGCAATGCTGTCCCTTGTGCCACAGTCTCTCCTAAATTGCTCTTGAACTTTTGGAAATTTTCTATGTACTCTTCCAGCCATTTTAAAATGATCTTCAGCAGAATTTTGCTAGCATGTGATATCAATGATATTGTTCGATAATTTCCACACTCAGATCACCCTTCTTGGGAATAGGAACAAATATAGACCTCTTCCAGTCTGTTGGCCAGAGAGCTGTCCAAATTTTCTGGCATTGATTGGTGAGTGCATCTAAAGCTACATCTGTATTAACAGATAAAAAATGTATACCTTGGTATTTGTACGCCTGATTGTCTTTACTGTTTGCTTTTAAAAGTAAAATACCTATCTGTCAGTTCATTTATTGGAGAATGGTTTGCATATTACTAATTACTTTCTATCTCTAATGTGTAGAGTCTTGAATATTAAGTGCTCTTATTATCAGGAAGCAGGAGGGGCATCCACTTCCTAAACAACATGCCTCCAGAAACTCTATGAACTTTGATAAATGTCGAGAGTTGTAGAGAGGCTTCAGGCCTTTTGTTCATAAGGTCGCTATGAGTCATGCAACTAGAAGGCAATCAACAACAACAATTATCAATAGAGTGCTTGTTTGCCAGTCTGATTTACTGGTATAGCCTGTGGGATGCTGTGATGCTGGAAACTGTGCCACCAGTGTCTTAAGTACCAAAGGGTCACCTATTATGGAAAGCTTCTAACAGAGTTCCTAAATTAAGACAGACTAGGAAGAAGGATTTACCATCCACTTCCAAAACAAGAGATCTTTTGAAAACTCTGAACAACAAAGAAACACAGGTAGTTATAGCATTAGAGGTACAGCCCAGATGGGAAGTCACTTAGAACTGAGAAGTGGCTGCAAATGACTAATTAGAATGTGGAACGTATGGAGTATGAATACAGAAGAGTAGAAGTTATAAACAATGAAATGAAAGTCATGAAGACTTGACATTCTAGGCATCAGTGAACTGAGAAGGACTAGCATGGGCCACTTTAAATCAAGCATAGGATCTACTGTGCTGGGAATGAAGAACTGAAGAAGACTGTTCATAGGTAAAAAGGCAATTTCAAGATCCATCGCTGAAGTACAATGCTATAAGCGATAGGATACTATCCATATGCATAAAGGAAGACCTATTAACATGTCTATTATTAAAATATATACACCAACAATTACAGCCAAATAAGAGGATATTGAGGATTTCTGCCAATTTTTTGCAGTACAAAATTGTTCAAACATGCGATCAGGAGGCGTTAATAACTATTGGTCTGGAACCCAAAATTTGGAAATGATGAAGAAGGATAGTAGTCAGAAAGTATGGAGTTGGTGACAAGTACGGAGAGTGAATGTTCAAACTTTCTCCCCTTAGAGATTTATGCATTACAAATATCTTTTTACAAAAAATCACAAAAAGTGACTTTACACATGCATTTCACCTAATGGACTGCAAAGGAGTCACATTGACTGTATTTACGGGAAGAATCTTTGTAGATGCCCAATATTAGCAGTCAAAACCAGACCAGGTGCCAATTGTGGAGCAGACCATCAATTAATTGTGTGCTGGTTTAAACTGAAGCTAGAGAAAATTAAAAAAGTAAAACTAGTCCACAGGATCCAAAATAGGACTTTGAGAATATCTAAGTTTCATTTAAGAATGATCTCAAGAACAGGTATGAGGCACTGAACACAAAGACCAGAAGACCTGTGGGAGGACATCAAAGATGTCATTCATGAAGAGAACAAAAGTTCATTATAAAGAAGAAGAAGAACCAAAATGGATGTCAGAAAAGACTAAGAAAACAGCATTAGATTGTTAAGAAGCCAAGACAAAAGGAAAAGATGCCCAAGTTAAAGAGCTGAACAGAAGATTTCAAGAGGCAGCTCGAGAAGGCAAAGCAAAACATTATCACAAAATGTGTGAAGAATTAAAGGGGAAGAACTTGCTCAGCATTTCTCAAGTTGAAAGAACTGAAAAACAGATTCAAGCCTTGAGTTGCAATACTGAGAGATGCTATGGGCAAAATCTTGAATGATCTAGGAAACATCCAAAGAAGATGGAAAGAATACACAGAATTACAGTACCAAAAAGAATTTAACACTGAAAAAATTTAGGGAAGTATCATATAAACAAGATCCAATGGCAATGAAGGTTGAACTTCAAGCTGTGTTGAAGGCACTGGCAAAAAATTGGGCCCCAAGAATCGATGGAATACCAATTGTCATGATTCCATTAACAGATTTAGCCTTGGATATGCTCACCAGTCTATCCCAGGAAATTTGGAAGGCAGCTACCTAACCGACTGACTGACTGGCTGGAAGAAATTTATATTCATTCTTATTCCCAAGAAAGGCATAAGCAGAGGAGCTCTGAGATAAAGACCATAATTAAAGGTTTTGTTGTTACTGCAGGATGCTTGAAGGAGAAGATGGCTTATAACTGTTCTGAGGCAAACCTTGTTGATGACTTGGATTTGACTGCTGAACTGAACCAGAGCCTAGACTAACTGAGGAATTGTGCCTTGGACCTACTGGCATAAAACTTGGATTTGCATTGGGTGATATTCTTTGCCTCTCCCACACTCCAACTTACTTCGCTAATAAATCCTATTCTTGGTACCACAACTGTGAGTCTGTGAGTCAACAATGAATATCAAACCTCTATGGGCTGAGCTAAGAGCTCTTTATCTGCTTTCTGCTCTGGGATGGTAAAGGGCTATGTTATTCTCATTCCCTTTGGCCCTTTCAGAAAGACGTTTTAAAGCCCTGTGCCCTCCTTGTCTCATTTTCTGGTTGCTAGACAGGGGTAGAATTGGGGGAGGGCTTGTATAGTGCTGCCTACTTTATAATTTGCATGTATATATGCTTGCTTGTTCACTTTGCTCTTCTGAGTACAGTATTTGTCTGTCAGTACTGTACTAAGGTAGGTTTCTGGCCGCTATGAAGCTGGAGGCTGTGCCACCAGTATTTTAATACCAAAAGGTCAGCAAGGGTGGGCAGGTTTCAGCAGACTAAGACAGACTAAAAGAAGTATTGTTCACTCACTGCTGAAATAACTAGCCTTTGAAAAGTCTATGTACAATCCAGAGGAACACTGTTAGACATAAAATTAGAGGTAAAGAACACTGTTGGACATAAAATTAGAGGTATGACCCTTAGAGTAGAAGATATTAAAAATAAGGATAAACAGCTGTAAACTTCCATTAATAATTGGAATGTGGAATGTATGATGTATAGATGAAGGAAAACTGGCAATTGTAAAAAAAAATTAAATGGAACGTTTAAAGATTGACATTCTAGGCATTAGCAAGTTACAATGGACTGGCACTAGCAACTTTAAATCAATTATATGATCTACTATTCTGGGAATGAAGAACTGAGAATAATGGTGTTGCATTCATAGTCAAAAGACCTCTTAAGATCTTTCCTGAAGTACAGTGCTTTCAGTGATAAGATACTGTCAATATGCATAAAAGGAAGACCTGTAAATACAACTATTGTTCAAATATATGCCCCAAAAGCTAAAGCCAAAGAAGAGGAAATTGGGAGGAAGACCTTCAACCAAGTAGGATGACACAGTGACAAGGGCAGTGATGAGGGAGAAAATATAAATTAATGATGATGAGAAAATTGTATTGATTAAGTTAGGGCTGCACAATCAATTGTTGTAATTGCTGTAAGTTTTTCATCTGTAAAGACTCAAATTGGCAAAAGTTGAATCATAACTCACAACAATGGTAAAAAAAAATAAGAGTAGTTAATGAGGCTGCTGAGGTATATCTGTTTATGATTCTTTGGTCTGGAGATTTGGGGTCATGGTTTCATGAAATATCCCATTAAAGTGACCTAATAATATCTTCAGTATTTTTCTTCTACCTCCTAATTAGTTGCAAAGTGTCTGGTGGTCTAAAAGCTTGCAAGCAGCCCTCCATAGCACAATAACTGATCTCTACTCACCTGGAATAACAGAAAGAAGGAGAGTCAGTAATAGGATGAGGATATTGAATGTGTGACTAATTGTCTAATAAGGAGAACTGCTTCCTTTGCCATGAGATCAAAAGAAATGGATCATGCTTAGCTGTCATTACTGAACATTTTGATCAAAGATTCCACAGAAGACAGATCAAAAGGGGTTAAGTGCTAAACAGATTTTCAAATACTTGTAGACTATATACTTTCTGGACCCATGGAGGGTGGATGAACTCCTGGAGCCTCTGCCGTGAGATAATCTCTAAATTTTAAACAAAAAATATTTCCTGTTGTTTTTTAAAAACCAAATATTGGTTGAAGGGGGGGAACCTCACAATAAAATATTCATTTACACCTATTGTTGTTGTTAAGTATTGTTGAGTCAAGGACGCGCCTGCGCGCAGCCAGCGCACGGGCCGCCGACCCTGGGGTCCGGGAGCGTGGGGCTGGGCGCCGTGGTCCCCGCTTCCGTGCTGCGCCGACCTAGAGAGTGACTTGGTGACAGTCACGCTCCTCGGAAGGGGGCCAGAGTGTGCAGAGCTACTCACGGTCCGACACCCGCTGGTCCCAGTCCTAGAGCCGAGGCCCAGGATGCTGCCTGTGTTCTTCGGGGAGCGCATCGAGGTGAACCCCGAGCCCACGCGGGAGATCCGCTGCAACTCTGAGGTCAGGTACGCCTCGGAGCAGCACTTCCGGGACAAGGTGTTCTACGTGCCGGTGCCCACGGTCACAGCCTACAGCGAGACGGTGGTGGCGGCGCCCAACTGCACATGGCGGAGCTACCGCTCCCAGCTGAGACTGGAGCCGCGGCCGCGCGCCCTGCGCTTCGCCAGCACCACCATCATCTTTCCCAAGCACGCCCGCAGGTCCTTCCGCACCACACTGCACTGCAGTCTCGGCCCTCCAGGCCGCAGGTTCGCCGCCAGCGTCCAGCTGGCCCAGCACGAAGCGCCCAGCCCCGAGGGGCTGTGACGGGGCCGCAGCCCACCTGTCCCCGGGACTCTTCCATGGTGGGGATGGCACCCTGCGAGGTGGGCACCCCTGTTCATGGACCCCACTGTTGACTGTTGTCAAGGCAGAGTGGACACGGGCACCGTCCCGAATGGCCGTACACAGGGCAGGCCTGTCCATGTGATGGCCAGGGCCAGGCTGTGCCCGGGGCTGCAGGACAGAGGCGTGGTGGGCCCAGCCCGCTGGACATCCTCCTAGAAGCCACCCTGAGAGACAGGACCGGGGGGGCTCTGTGGGCTGGACGTCTAATAAAACGCACACTATGAAAAAAAAAAAGTATTGTTGAGTCAAGCATAACTCATAGCAACCCTAGGAACAACAGCTCTGCCTGCCCTATCCTGTGCCGTCCTCACCATCTCTGACATACTTGAGTCCATTACCTGTCACTGTGGCAATCCATCTGGTTGACAGTCTTCCTCTCTTTCACAAACACTCCACCTTTCCAAGCATGGTATCCCTTTCCAAGGAACAGTCTCTCCTAGCAACACATGCCCAAATTATGTGAGATGAAGCTTTGTCATCTTTGCCTCCAAGGAGCACTCTGGTCGTACTTTCTCCAAGACATATCTGTTTTTTTCTTTTGGAAGTCTATGGAATATTCAGCACTCTTTTCCAACATCACAACTCAAAAGCATCAATTCTTCTTTTGACATCCTTATTCATCATCCAGCTCTTAGATGCACAGAAGGTGATGACTATAATTAAAAAGAAATGGAGAAAACTAGATGGTACTTGGTTTTCACTACAAAACATTCTGACCAGGGTCACAGTAGGTGACTTATTGTAGAAAGGGAGAAATGAGAACCAAACTTTAAATTCTTAAATAATCCAAACTTATTACACGCATTGAGACTAAAGGAAACTTTGAAATTATTGTCCTGAGGCAGTCTTTGAATCTTGACCACACATGATCCTCTGAATTCACCACACAATTATGATTTTTATATGCAAAAAAAAGAAAATAAAATCTTTTTCTTAAAAAGCAATATCCTTGAGAACTGCACTCTTTAAATTTATTCATATGAGACCAAAATGAACAATAGCTACTTGAAAGCAAAATTAAAAGTTCAGGGGACAGTAAGATTAACGGGAGTTGAACAACTAGAACAGAAATAATAAGAGTGCTGACACAAGCTAAAGAATGTAACCAATGTCACTGAATATTATGTGTAGAAATCATTAAGAACCTGTTTGGCTGCATATACATTCACCAAAATTATTATAAGATAAAAAAAGAAGAAGAAGAAGAAAGAAACAGAAAACGGCATGTGGATAACCGGAATGCTCATAGACTAACTACTGCTGTAAAACAGTCAAATGGCTCAGACACTTTAGGAAACAGTTTGGCTGCTCTTAAAAAGTTAAACATAAAGTTGTCATATTATATCAATTATAGAAATTCTATTTGTAAGTAGTATACTCAATAGGATCAGGGGTGGGGGGCAGAAATGTAGTTAAATACCCATAACAGCATTATCCAGATAGTAAAAAATGGAAACAATCCACATTTCCATCAACTAATGAATGGATCAACAAAACGTGGTATATACCCATAGTGAAATAGCAGGTAGCAATTACAAGTAATGATGTACATGTATATGATACAACTCAGACAGCCTTTGTAAATGTTATCTTAAATGAAAGAAAAAATGCTAAAAATACCATTTGATACAATTTATATGAAATGTCCTGATAGAATCATACAGATAGAACATAGTATAGTGACTGCCAGGGGTTAAAAATAGAGGTGAGTGATACAAATGGGCACAGGGTTTCTTTTCAGTGTGACCAGTATTCTGGATTTCATCTGACGGACAACACAGATTGAATCCAGAAAAGTCCAGCAATTTTTTTAGGGTGACTAACAGGTAGAATAATAAAGAGAACTGCCAGAAGTTCAAGCTGCATTTAGAAGAGGCCATTTCACCAGGGCTATCATTGCTGATGTCATATGGACCTTGGATGAAAGCAGAAAATACCAGAAGAATGTCTATTTGTGTTTTATTGACTATGCAAAGACATTTGATTGTGTGGATCAGAACAGTTATGGCTAACATGAGAACAATGGGAATCACAGAACACTTAGTTGTGCTCACGCAAAATCTATAACTAGACCAAGAAGCTATGACCCAAACAGAGACAGGAACACTGGATAGTTTAAAGTAAAAAAAGGTGTGCATCAGGGATGTATTCTTTCAATATGTATGTTAAACAAAATCATTCAAGAAGCTATATGCAGTATGAAGAAGAATGTGGCATCAGTATTGGAGGAAAACTCATCAACATCCTGCATTGTACAGATGACACAGACTTGATCACTGAAAGCAAGGCAGACCTGAAGTGCTTGCTCCAGACGGTTAAGCACTGCAGTCTTCAATATGGATCTCAACATCATGAAGACAAATATCCTCACCACTGGACCAATAGGCAACATCATGATAGATGGAGAAAACATTGAAGTTATCAATAATTTCTTCTTACTTGGATCCACAATCAACACCTTTGGTACCAGCAGTCAGGAGATCAGGAGATGCATTGCATTAAGAAAGTCTGCTGTCAAGTGCCTCTCCAAAGTCCTGAAGACCAATAATGTCAGTTTAAAGTGTGTCTAATTGAAACCATTGTCTTTTCAATCACCTAGTATGCATCTAAGACCTTGACAATGAACAAGGATGGCAGAAGAACAATTGATCCTTTTGAGTTGTGATGCTGGAAGAGAGTACTGAATATCCCATGGACTGCCAAAGAACAATTATATATATATATATATATATTTGTTGTTAAGTTGTTGTTAAGTGCTATTGAGTCATAGACAACTCATAGTGACCCTATGAATGAAAGACCTGAACACTTGTATAACTTTCATTGTTGGAGGCAAGCTATTTACGGAAGTGAATGCCACTCCTGCTTCCAAGCTTGTTTTAATTGGAGAGCTCCACCAAACACTGTCCACCATCATGGGTAACCATTATCACATTTGACACATCAGTGTCAGAGTGTTCAGCTTCACAGCCACCACGAGTTACCTCTGTGCAGCAAATGGAAAAATTAGTGCTATACCACTTAGAAGAATGACCAAAAAACAATTAAAACCAGGCCAGAGGGCCACAGATTAAAATCACCTCCCTTTGGCTTGGTAGCACTACTTTCTGTCCACTAGGCCAACTGAGTTATCTTGTTGTTGTTGCTGTTAAGTTCCATCAAGTCGTAGATGACTCATAGCAACCCTATGAACAAAAGACCTGAACACTTGTATAACTCATTGTTTTTCCACGTTCATAGTGTCCAAAGACAAGCTATTTTGGAAGTGGATAGATTGATACAATGACTTACACAGTGGGCTTGATAGGAACAGAGATTTTGAGGGTGGTGCAGGATATAGCAAGGTTCAAATCTGTGGTTCATAGGGTCATTAGGAGTCACAGTCGACTTGAAGGCACCTAACAACAATAACATTCTAGAAGTGGTTGCAGTACTCTGTGGTCGTACTAAAAAAAAATTGACATTTTTAACTTAAAATGGTAAATTTTATCATCAGTTTTACCGCAATTTTAAAAGGAAAGATATTGAATCACTTTAAGTTAGGATGTGCTCAAGTTTATTAGCATTTTAGAAAGAATATTCCCTGGCTCTATGGTAGAAAAGAGACTGGAGGCAGAGAAATACTGACAATTATGAGGACTTTACAAGAGTCCTGACAAGAGATAATTGTGACCCATACATGGGAAAATGGCAGTGGAAGTGGAAAGAAAAGGTCAGATTCAAGGAGCAGTTAGGATGGACCGATCAGGTTTAAACATTCACAGCCAGAGCTGAGTGGGGCGCAAATAGAAGGGTTTCTGTCTCTCTTTGTTGCTGTTGTTTTTACATGCAGTCAAGTTAGAAATAATTTATAGCTGACCCTCCAACAAGTTTTCAAAGGCAATTAATCACACCGGAGGAGAATGCCCATCCCTCTTCCATGGAGCAGCTGGTAGATTCAAACCTCATACCTTTGGTATGTTTTTCTTTAATGGAAGTTAACTTAGTTCTTAATGATGATTTTAACAAATGACTGAACATATTTTTAATAAAGCTTTCTTCCAAATGTGGAGTCTAATCTGTCTTTCATTGAATATAGAATGAACTTAATTACTCAAACATGGCAAAAGTGATGCTGTATAACTATCAAGATCAGGTCAGAAGAAGAATCCATCTGACTGGTTTGTATTCTCTCTGTGTCTCTCTGATTTCTTACTCTGTCTGGATGGAGCCAACTGTCAGGTTACGTGGATACTCAATAATCAAGAATCCATCTGAAAAACTCCACGTGGAGAGGGTCTGAGGTGTCTCACCAACAACCAACACCAATCCATCCGTCACATGAGGAGCCCACTTTGGAAGCAGACCCTCCAGTCCTAGCGAAGCTATAGATAACTCCATCCCAATCTTTGAGATTTCAGCTGCAACATAAAGCAGAAAAAAAACTGTCCTCATTGTGCCTCGATTGAATTCTATGAATGACAACAAAAGTTAGTGCTATTTGAAGCCAGTAAGTATTAGGGTAAATAGTTACACATTCTCCTAGTGCAAGGTCCTCATTTCTATGGATCACTCTTACAGCACTGCCACCAATTCAGAACCAACTCAGAGCTGACCCTCCAGAAAATATCTAAGACTGTAAATTACAAGTTAAGAGATTGCCCATTTTTCTCCTATGGAGCTGCTGGTGGAGGTGAACCATCAGAAAGGTTCAGCCTCCAGGTTAGCAGTGCAAACCCCTATGGACGACGTGAGAGAGAGCCCTCATTTCTGGTTTCCCTTTCCTCTTTGCTTGGATGCCTCATTTGTGGGAGGAGGCTAGTATCAAGGCACCTGGCAAGGGACTCTTCCTTCTCCACAGAAGGCTAGCTTGTGCACTGGCTCTGGGCAGAGTAACCCATGACTGTCCTTCAGATGAGACCACCTCTGCTCTGCACAGA